AGACCCTTCTCCATTTTCTGAAGAAGGGTCCAGGACCGAAACATCAGCTTTCCTGCTCCTCTGATGCTGCTTGGCCTGCTGTGTTCATCCAGCTTTACATCTTGTTAGCTTAGGAAAACCAGTGCGGGATGCCAGATTCTGCCAGATGAGAGAGACAATTTAGTACAGGCGATGAAGTTTAGTGTAGAAACTATGGAACTGGCCTTGCACGGATAAGAGGCTTGGTCAAGTGATGGTCCTGAACAAGCAAATGGGCCATATGAAAGCTGCAAACTCTCAAATGGTGTGGGAGCAAAATGTGCCCTGCTCCTTGCAACAGTCAGAAAGGCTGTTGGAACCCATGTGTTCTCCCTCTACATCAAGCATCAAAGGGACCACTGAATCTGAGATGGACACAGCGGATCTCACTGCATCAATGTCTTTGCTGCTGGGAAGATAAGGTGAATTTCTCCCGAGACACTCTGGGTGCAAGAGGTAAGCTCCTATGCGTTAAGTGCCACCTGTATCTGATGCAGAGTTGGAGGAACCTGATCCAGTGCTAAATTACCCCAGGAGGCACTAGAAGAGAAAAGACTGGCCTGTATCCTCAGAATTAGATGAGGACTTCATTGTAATGAAGTCAGCCAGGTGGACACATAGAATATGAGTTCCCTGATTGGGGCTGTTAATCTGGTCCAATCAGGGAGCCCTGGCTGACAGAGATAAAAAGGTGTGTCAGACATCCTGTTAACACTGAGAGCTGGCTCTGAGGGAGCTGGATCAGTGTCAAGGACTTTCCATGTGTAAATAAAGGATGACTTGGTGATGGGATAGTAGCTTCTGTGGAGTTATTTCAGTCGGCTATGGAAGAGGATGTGTTGATGGCAGTAGCTGCGGCCTCCACAGGGGCAAAACATAAAGGAACTGGGTGGGCACCATTAATGTGCAATGCTCGGACGAAGCAGGAAAAGAAGGCAGTTGGAGACAAAGTCTCCACGTTGGGGTGATGGGTGGAAATGGACTTTAAAGTGGTGCAAGGTAAAAGCGAACATTGAGGCTTTGTGAGAGTACCAAGTGACCAAGTGCAAGCCAGTACTGACAGTGTCCACTGTGAGCTATGTTCCTTGCCATCACTTGCTGTTCTCTAGATGTGAAGTACAATGAGAAAATAACTGAGATAACGTCAAGGTGGGCAGAGTCTGTCAGTTTGATAGGTACAGTTCTGTGGGAGGACCTGCTGCAGGTTGACCTGGGAGCTACCAGGATGCTCAACTCTCCCATCACTTTGGTGGGGGTGATAGTGCCCTCACTTGGCTTTCAAGGAGAGTTTCAACTTTAGTCTCTATGACTGGAAACTAGTGGTCTATCCAGAACCTTTTGTAGTCAAAACTAATACCTTAGCCATGTGCAGTACCAGCCCATACCAATGTTCACCAACTCTGAAAAGTCACAACTTAAACAAACAGGAACTAAACCAGGAGGGAGTAATCAGCATCTAGCCTGCAAGCTTTTAATGATTATTCTAAATAGTGCTGGTTGGAGAAAGGTAGGGTGCTTCAAAAGCTACAAAACGTATGCTTAGGATTGTGTGCTTAAAATGGTAGTTCAGACATCCAAACAATGTCATACACTGATGTTGTGATACACCTAACATACATATAATGTATGCTCCTAATGCATCCTCAACTTGAGGATAACTGGTGCATATGGCAGTGTTAACTATGTGTAGGATGGACACCATTGTGCTTTCAGACCAGCATGCCTAGCACTAAACCTGTGAGACCAAGTTTTGCAGCCTCCGTGTAACTTTCTGAGCAAGAGCTGTACATAAGCATTAACTGTGAGCTCGAACATTTGCTTTTAATGAGCTGGATTTGAAATCTAGTTTAGCTCACATCTAACATTATTGAAAATATTCTATAATTCCCTCCTGTTTGAGTTTGAAATCACTGCTGTTAAATCAATCTGTGATACAAA